CCGGTGCCGCTGCCGCCGCTTCGCCCCCGGGGCCGCCCTCCCGAGCCGGCTCCGCCGCGGGTTCCCGGGGCCGCTCCGCCGCCCGCTCGCCGCCGCCTCCCCGCAGCCTCACGAAGACGGAGGCGAGGATAACGGCCAGGACGGTGAAGAGCAGCGGGACGGCCAGGTACGGGTCCACGGCCAGGTCCATCCTGCCCTGCCGCCGAAGCCCCGACCCGTGTGCGCGGCCGCGGGGGGTGCGCGGGCAGCGCTCGGCCGGCGGCGGGGCTGGGCCGGCTCTCGGACGGCTTTACCCGGCGTCATCCGGCCCTGCCCACCGCCCCGGCCCCCCCGGCCCCGGCACCCMCCTCCCGCACCGAGCGGCAGCCAGAGCCAGGCCCCGCTCCCCGCCCGCCGGGGATGCGCGTCCGCACCACCCGCACCCAGGGGTGGGATTTGGGAAGGGGAGAACGGGAGAGGAAGGCTTGGGCTGCGAGGAACCCCGCTCTGCCTGATGCCAGCCCAGCCTGGGACAAGGGGTTCTTTCATTAGACGCTGTCCGTTACCCACAAAGTCATTCTCAGACTGCTCGGCAGTCGCTTGCATCGTCAAATCCTAGAATCATTTACTTTGGAGGAGGCTTCTAAGATCATCACTCCTTTCAGTGGAGAAATTATTCCTAAAACTCGATCTAAACATCCCCTGGCACAGCCAGGACCTTTCCTCTTGTCCTGCCACTCACTAACGGGTCCCATTGGTAACAATGGGAATGTTTCTGTCTCCTGGGATGCTCCCAGGCAGGCAGGCACCCAGGGCTTGGTGAGCWCGGACACACTGGGGTGCCAGCTAGCCTGCGGGCAGTGTTAATGAGCATTTGCACCTTGTTAGCCCTTGGCTGGGGAGCGGAGGGGCTGGCAGGGCCGGGAAGGCTGTCCYGGCTCCCCTGGGTGAGCAGCATCTGGCAGCACATCCATGCCAAGCTCCAGAGCACCATTCTGCCTTCCCCAGGAGCCGCAGGTGATATCGGTGGCTCATTTGTGCCATAAGCTGCTGTTGTACACACCAARTAAAGTTGCTGTCGAGAGCAGCTGTGCAGCCAGAGCCTCCCCCCGAGCATCTTGTTGCTGGGAGGTCTGAGAAATGGAAGGCTCAAAAACCAGAATGTGCCCAAAAGCCATGGCAAGCTGGCAAGGAGAGTGGCCAAGGAGTTGTCAGGTCCCTCCAGACTCTGCCACTGAGGATTTCCTGCCTCTCAAGACTGCTGGGAGGATTAGCCAACCTTTTACAAAGCAGGCTGAAATTAGAAGGCCTAAGCTATTCCTGCCAGGGTAAAACCAGCACAGAGCTGGATGCATGTGAGGGGAGCAGACATGGGAATTCACTCTGGAAAGTTTCTTCCAGAGAAAAGGCGCCAGAGATACCACCAGGAGCTGATTTTTTTTTTATTGAGTGACTAAAGACAAAACTCAAACAAAGCTGGGATTAAATTCCTGGGTGGGAGGAAGGAAGTGAAGCCATGATCCTCACTGCGTTTGTCTTTATTGGTAATCCTATCAGGCAGGCAATCATTAGCGTATGGATAATTGTATTCTTAGCAACAACCAACCACGGGACTTATCTCCCCCTCTCCCACAGAGCTTTGCATTTCCTGGGTCCTGATCGTCAGAGCTCAGCCAAATCACCCACCCAGAGATTGGCAGCGTCACAGCACTCTGGTTCAGCAGCTTTTTCGATGTGTTTTTGGTCCCTTCTTCCCCCTACTTGTCCAAATTCCAGTAGCCATGAAGACATCATCCTGAGTTCAGAGCATCACTTGTTTTCAGAGGCTTCCTCTGAGCCCTGGAAATTGCTCACGGCCAGGCACAGAAGCAGGGAGGGGAAGATCCACAGATTGGGTCCTTGCTCATATGCTCATTTTTGGGCACAAAGAGGAATTCTGGGTGAGACTGGCAGGAACTGGCCGCTGTGAGCTGCTAACAGGGTGCCACGGGGTGTTCTGGTGTCACACACATTTCCAGCTGTCACAGTGCCCTTRATTACTGCCAACACCAGGACACCTCCTGCTCTTTCTCCCTGGCAATATAAATTTTCCAGGGCTCTTGGTTGGAAGTGTGTTGGAGGGTGTTTGCCCGCTCAGGAATGCAGCAGCATGTGGCTTGCATTAACCCAGCACGGAGACAGAGCACTTCAGCGAGMACCCTCCCGAGCAGCATTTATCACTGCCTTAAAATACGAAAAACTGGTTCTGACAGCTTTTCCTGAGGTTGGAATCCCTGACAAGGGAATCTACATGAACCTCAGAAATGCTCATTAGCAGCTCCTGGCTCTGGACCTGCAGCGATTCTCTCTCAGGTTGCTGGAACCTGTGGCACTCGCAGGAGTGGTGAGAGCTGCAGCGTTTGGATATCTGAAAAACARCACTCCTGGTCTTGAGAGCAACAGTCAGGAGCTGCAAGGACACATCTGCCAGAAGAGCTGCTCTGAGGTAAACTCATACAGTAAAGAGGTGCCAGAATCAGCAACAGAGCTCCCCATGTCCAGACCTGGCTGAGAGCTTGACTCTCCTGAAGAATATGATGTGATGGAGATGATCCCCTAGGCAGAAATCGGGCCCAGCAGGTCCCGTGTGATGCTGACTTGTCCCTTCCATGGCTCTCCAGAGGGAATTGGATGGAGCAAATTTGGCCTGGTCCCTGGCCGAAGCTCCCAYTGGGAGGCACAGAGGAATCTCCGGGGTTCCCGTATCAGCTTACAAGGCACGATTAACGCTGGGTCCTGTCATGCACGCTCAGGGACAGGAGGGGTGGATTCACATACCAGGTCAGGGATCCCTGCCCTGGACCAGCTCCGGGAGAGACGCGCTCGGAGTCTGCTGGCAGGGGGGGCTCGGGGAAGGGCTGTCCTGGGCACGGTACTCCCGCCCCAACCCCAATCCCAACCCTGGCTCGGGCCGAGCCCGGAGCGGGGCAGCAGCAGCAGCGTGAGAGCGCTGCCCTCTCTTGGGAGGAGACCC